AAAACATTACAAGAAAGTCTGGGTCTTTGGAAGCAAAATGTATAGAAAGTTTTTTGATTAGAAGTTTAAAAAAATATTATGATTCAAGAGGGCGAAGCCTGAAAGTGATAAACATATAATTAGAAAATAGTGCTAATTATAGTCTGTTCTATATTGAGTCATTAGTTGCTGTGGGTTGATATTTTGGAGTCTAGCCTTATGGGGGTGGCCAGTACACTGAAAATAAAAAAGGGAAGTTTTAAAATTATGCGACAAGAATACTTCAGAGGGAAACTAGGTGTAGGAAGACTAACAGATTAACAGTAAAAAGGGTACCAAATCCTTTGCATAGTTTAAAGACTTAATAATTCTGTGGACCTAGGCTTTCGGTTTCCACATAATCCAAGACCACCTCTGTGACATGTAAAACTGAGGTCATGTTTGGCCTGCTGCACAAAATATTGGATACAGTAAAACAAATTTACACTGGCAAAAGAGACACTCCAAACCTTTCTTTTAACCCTCAGCTAACCTTTTTTTTCCTAACATCACCTGACCATTTAAATCAGATTCATGTCAGTTTGGCAGGTGTATGATGTTAGTGTAACCAGTTTCTGCTTCACCCTCTGTAACAGGCCGGCCCAAATAAACTCCTTGACTCTGCATTTTGTTGTATTTTTAAAGAAGACAAGGAGTCTCTGGTTTGTCTTGATGCATGCTCAGCCATCCAGGTATGCAAACCGCAAAAGTTTGATTCTGTTCATCTGGACGTAGCATTTTCAGTGGGAGAAAAGTTTCGTCACTCATCCATGTGACTTCTTCAGTCTCAGCTGACTGTAGGTTTCCCCAATCTTATAAATAGTACATTTGCACAATAACTGAAACCAGCACACTGAATGAACAATGGGCTGGGAGGTCAGTTTTTTGATCATTAATATGCAAATTGTGACGTTCATTGCTCAACAAACACTGATCAATGGTCATGAGTACCATTCACAGAGAGTTGGGGAATGGCTGCATTTACGGCATTGTAAGATGTCAAAAGATGTACCCTTGGGCCCCTTCCATGATTCAGAGATGTTTTTTCTATTTTTATGTAAATGGCCTCCTTGACTCCGCCCTCAAACCAGCGTTCCTCCCTGTCCAGGATGTGTACTTCCTCATCATTGAAAGAGTTCCACTGGCCTGTAGGTGTAAATAGACTGCAGAGTCCTGGCCTGACGAGTAGCCTTCTGTGTGTGCCATCTGCTTTGCCAGAGGTTGTTTGGTTTCCACGATGTATAAATCCTGGCAATCCTCCTGGCACTTAGCAGTGTACACTATATTACTTGTGTTGGGGGACCCGATCCTTGGGGTGGACCAATTTTTGGCACAGCATGTTTTGGGGTTTGCTTAGGCAGCAGTTGTCCTTCACTCCTGGATGAACTGGAGCTTTCTTTAGGCGCCTTCCCAGATTTGACAAATGTCCAGCTAGGATCACCACATTTACTCAGGCCTTCTTGATGTGATGTTCTTCTGCTTCCCTGGCTGCTGTGTCTATGGGGATGGTGTTCGTTCTATGCTGTGGTGTCCTGATGACACCCGGTTTGTGCTCCAGTGGATGCATATTAATGATCAAGGACCTGACCTCACAACTTATTGTTCATTCAGTGGGCTAGTTTCAGTTATTGTGCAAATGTACTGTTTATAGGGTTGAGGAAACTTGCAGTCAGCAGGGGTCACTGCGTTCAGCAGCTAATGACACTGCGGTCAGCGTTTTGGAAAGCCATAGATGCAGAAGTAGTTATGCCAGAGTTGGTGCGCTACTGCCTTAGCAGACTGATTAAGGCTGATTAGAAAGGCCTGAGCCATCTTTGGAAAGTTGTTTATGACCACAAGCACATCCACTGATTTGTTTGCTGAATCCTCCAAAAATATTTTTGTGCCGTTCCTTGGTGGCCCTGGTGACCTGCTTCATCATGGACACCTTTTAGTACAGCAGGATGCACGGTTGACGGAACAACATACAGGTAGGTCTTAAAGACTCGATCCAGTAAACTATCTCTTATGATCAACTTGTCCCAAGCCTTTAGAAGTTTCTTTGTATCGGCTGCTTCTTTGGCCCACTCTTTCCTTGATGGTCTCCGCCCACATTCCACATAGGAGATCACTCTGCACAGCACATCATCATGTGTCCCACTAGGTCATCTTGTAAGAAGGATTCAGATTCAGACCAGTTCGGTGTAAGCACAGACTGAGAGAATTGAGACAGGAGAAGAGAATGTGGCCACACTTTTGACTCATGTTTACTATGGCCCTGGAGAACAGCTCCCACCTCAGCCTGTGCAACAGCTGCACTGAAAAATGACAAACTGGTCACCGCCTGGGGTCGGAACACTTGTACCCTCTTCCATATAGGGTTGCCTCTACAAGGGATGTAATGGATGACCTTATTCCATCAGCATTGACAATGTGTCCCAGGAATTTCATAGACTGTCTCAGAAAATGGGACTTCTTTGGAGCCAACTTGAGATTGTAAACCTGTGGTCTCTGGAAAACCACTTGCAAGTGCTCCAGTGCCACTTCTTCTGTGGCAGCACAAACCAGGACATCGTCAAGACAACATAGCACACTGAGAAAGGTCTGATCTCTGAAAATGGCTAACGTCATCCTCATGAAGGTCGCTGGACTGTTGCACAATCCTTGTGGCATATGATTATATTCGTATAATCCAAATGGTGACGTAAATTCGGTGTACTTACGGTCCTGCTCATGCAGCTCCACATTATAATAACCTGAAGTCAGGTCCATTGTAGAAAATAATGCGTTTCCTCCTATAGCAGCCAACGCATTGGCCAAAAGCGGAAATGGCTGGGCATCTTTGACAGTTGTAGCATTAAGTCAGCGGAAGTCATTACATATTCTCAACTCACCAGAATTCTTCCAAACTAAGACCAATGGTGATGCAAACATACTGCAAGATTTCTGAATAATTCCCCGTTCCTCCATTTCATTCTGTGGTAGTTTGTCATAAATTTGTCTTAGTTGGTGGCACATGTTGGCATGGCAACCGGAATGGTTTGTCATCCACAACTCGAATTCGATGTAGGCAAGCTCGTCTCTTGAGAAGATGGACACAAACTGTGCTATGAAGCCAACTAGTTTCTCTTTGCCAGCTGGTGAAACTGCACGTGAATCAATTTCAATATCAGATAGCCCCAGATTTTGTAGCACTGCATGTAAGGGGCTACCACAACTTGTCACTTCCTGTGAAGATGCATTTTAGGCTCACTGGCTTGTCAAAGGGGTTCAACACTTTTACAGGGACCCATCTATCACTTTTTAGATATGCCACAGTTCTTCCAACCATAACCGATCTTGGCCTGGACCTTGAGCCTGTGGGTTCTATAACTACAGCAAAGACCACCTCCCCACTATTGATTAGCTGCAGCCTGCCCCAAACTAGGTGTTCTGTCGGTGGCTCCAATGTGACAGCTCTCTTTAGCTTGACAGCTCCAATCTAATCACCAACGTGCTCTCGAACCACCACGCCTGATATTGAACTCAACAGATTTTTATTAGCCAGTTCTTCAGCATTCAGGGCCTTACTGTGTTCCTCTCCTAAATATAGGAGAATAAGGTCCTCACTCTGCCCTGCAACCACCAGCATTGCCACAACAACTTTGCAGCCATACATCTCAACGGTAATGTCACACACACCTGTTGGAACTGTCCTTGAACAACTACAACCAATCAGGACGACATCAGTGGGTTGGAAGGTTGAGGTCTCCAATGCTACATGACATACCCACATAGCAAGCAGGTCTGGCCCGGATCTGGTATCAAGTCGGCACTGCTAGCTAACTTCTGGCATGATAAGACGTATGTCATCCAGATACGGGCCAGGCCTGGTATAGATGGCACTATGTGATGGCATGCCATATCTGGCTTGATTGTGGTTTGGTTTATGTGGCCCAGGCCCACAGAAAACAGGTCTGGCCCTGAAGAAGATCTGGCATCAAGCTGGCACTTCTGACTGACTGGTGTTTTGTCAACCAGATGTGGGCCACGTCTGGCAATGATGGCACTATTTATGTTCCTATTTTCCTATTTAAATTAGAAGACCAAAATGCCATGCTGCAATACTATACTGCTATGGTAGCCAATGTTTCAAATGCAGGTTTGACAGGTTTTTGAGTGTACATTTCATCCAAAACCTAGTGAGGGTTTACTCATCTTTGCCAGTGGGAGGCTGTAGCTCAGGAGGTAGAGCAGGTTACAAACTGATCGGAAGGTATAGTGGTTCGATCCCTGGCTCCTCCAGTCTGCATGTCAAGAGTATGAATGTAGTTAGGAAGCACTCAGTTAAGCGAAAGTGTGTGATTAGGTGAATGTGGCATGTTGTATAGAGCACTTTGAGTAATCTGGGAGAGTAGAAAAGCGCTATATAAGAATCAGTCCATTCACTGTCTGAACAGAGTTCAGCATGTTACTTTTGCACTGTTTTGCATGTTCTGGCACATGTTGTTATTGCATGGCTTGATTAAGTTACACATTAGGCTGACATCTGGGGCCAGAGCTGAAACTGTTCTGGGCCAGCCCAGGGCCAGCATTGTCTCTACAACTGGCCTATGGCTGCACACCACCTACAGATGGCCCACATGCCGCAAAGAATGACAGCCCTTTCGTGGCCCAAATCAGGTTTGCCAGAGGTAATCCACACATGGGCCAGCACAGGACAACCAGTGTGTATGCAACTGGCCTTGTGCTGTGCCCATGTGTGGGCCACCTCTGGCAAACCAGTCCCAAAAAACATATGTATTATACAGTGTTAAACAAATGAAGAGTACACCAACTGGTGTACTAAATACTTCATACACTGTGTTCGTCAGTTGATAAAACAAGTTTTATGTATCGATAAAACATAACTACTCTAGATACAACTCACCTCTCGTATAGCTTTAACAGACTGGGAGTGATTACTGCAGCCAGCCTCAAATAAACGGCCACAACAACAACTGTATAAAAGACTTTTTTCTTCTTTACAGTCATTGTGCCAAACCAGGAGGGAGGGCGCTGTTTCCCCATTGCACTGACAGTTGAGGCAGGTGGAAACACTGTTATGTTAGGAGCACACCGGTGACAGGTGTAGGTGATGCTTGGTGTCATGAAACACTGATGGTCTACTTTTGACTCAAGTAAAGACATGTGACCTCCAGGAAATGCTGTGTGCCTATAAAGTTTTAGCTAAAAACAGTTAAAAAAACAAACAGCATATTTTGCCTTCAAAATATGAGGACTCGCAGCTTATCCTCTCGTTGCAGAGCTCAGGCTGAAGCGTGTGGGTCATGCCTGCAGCTGGCTTGCTTTATTTTTGTTTTTTAATCTGCTCCCTGCTGAGTCACTGCTTCCCCTAAACGCCCCGCTTTCGATTTCCATTTCCTTTAAATCGTCTGTCTTCTGGGCGACCAGCAGGTGTCGCTGCTGCGCCTCGTAACTTTTCAGCAGTTTGTCAGAGTTTTTAAGTTGAGAGGAGAAGAGGCGCCGTTTCTAATGGGAGGGGGTTTTGTTTTTGGTTTTTTTGAAATTGTAACTTTTACTTTGCTCTTATGAAATTCCCACTTCTCCCTGATTGGAGGAACCGGGAGAAACGTGATAAAGACATGATGTAACCAGGAGAAATGCATCAGAGGGCGTGTGGCTGAGAAAGAGCTGGCTTTTTGACTTCTTTGTGCTAAAAATAGGTGCATTAGCTCTGGGATAGAGGCTAATTTGAATAGTTAAAAACCGATTTGCATATGCGCTGAAGCCGATATGAAAACAAGACGAGCCGCCGATACGTGCGGTCAGTTTACATATATAATGAGGGGGGAAATCGGCTTTTAAGGGTAAAATGCCTTTTCTGGCCTCACTATGATGCATTATGCAAATCAATAAAGCGCCGTTTGATTAAAAGTTTGGTTCGTGCTGTCGCGGGGGGGGTTTCCCGTCTGTGAGGTGACGTTACGCGCGGAGGGGGATTTCCACGCGTCTAGCAGCCAATCGCGAAGCCTGCCGGAAACACAAAAGCGGAGCACACTTAGTTCCACGCATGGCTTCGGGACGGTTTGACATTTCTCCTCGGGATCAGACAGACACTCTGAGCCGCTGTGCAGTTTAACTGGTGGTTTAAGGAGCTGTTTCAGAGTTCAGGACGAAGGTTTGGGCCGAGACGGAAAAAACCCAGAGTCATCCGGTTTGGAGAGTTCTCAAGGAAGAATTCAAGGACACGACGGTGGAGTTTAAGGTCCTCAAAGTGGTCTTAAAGACTGTACGCATGCCATGATAGACATGGACATGGTCAACGGTACCTCTGGTGGGTGGTTGTCTTTTGTAAACCTGTTGAATCTTTGCGTGTGTTTGTGCGTAAAAGCGCTGACATCATCCTGAGGCATGTGATTTTTCACAGCAGAGGAGACAACACCCCTTCCCGGGATTGACCCGCAGGACGACAATTATTCGAGCCTCAACTCTATAGATTTCGGTGAGTGGTGGGTCTTTTTTGTTTTGTTATGTTTTGTTTTGTTTTGGCTCTGCGTGCATCTGCCGGAAGCGGGGAGGCATTACGGTGACCTGAGATGACCTCTGGCAGGAGGCGTGAACCATCATCAGAGTTCCTGCTTGTTTAATCTTAGGTTGTCTTATTTCCGATGTCAGAGAAGGAGAACTCAACATTTGGGACATTAAATTAAACGTGAAAAAAGTTACAACAGCTGATTTCTCTTATCTAACTTTGAAAACTGTGCTGCAGATGCTTGCTTTGTTTAATGTTTCATGATTTCTGACAAAGTGTCAGACATGACAGACCACAACCACCCCAAAAGGTATATTTACCTGCAGATAACCACTGCTCTAGATTCACTTTCACTGGTTAAACTGAGGCTGGCTACATGGCACCAGGCTTGTTTTTTTGTTTTTTTTATTGGTGCAGTGCTGAAACAACGTGCCACAGATTCATGCACCAGTGACAAAAACAAAACAGAGGAAACGGTTCATGTGAGGTGGTAACCACTCAAATTCTGACACACTGTGTCTTGTGACACGTTGCCACGTCTTAAAATAGATTGCAGTAATATACTATTAGGTTTGAAAGATGTTAATGGAAGTGTTTCTGCTTTCAAATCCAAAAACATAAAGAAACAGCACAGCTGCTGCCCTAAAGTGGTGTCAGATTTTTATCACATTTGCACTTTCACTTTGGATTCACCATCAGTTTGTATTCATTCACAGACCTGATTCAAGAATATATCACAGAAAGTGAGCAGGTAGCACCCTCCCTATCTGGACTACCTGGACCACCTCCTCCACCTGCTGGCCTCCCCTGTTCGACACCAACCCCCATCCACAAACCAACGCAGACATCCAAGCCGGTGCTGGTTGCAAGAGGCACCTCGTCTAAGGTTTGTTTGTTTGTTTGTTGTTGTTGTTTTTAGGTGGTGTCATGCAGGGTGTTGATTTTTCTGGTTTCCAGCTCATTTCACAGTTTCATACGTTACCCAGAAAGACTGCTGGCAACACCCAAGGGTGCCAAGCAGAGAGGTGTTTATATCAGCTGTGGGCTGTGAAAGCTGCCAGCCTGCGGTGAATAGGGGCATAATTTTTTACAGTTTTTTTTTTTTACAATTTTTTTTTTCTTGGCAAAATTTGTGCTCATTACTTCGATCCAGGTTCTATTGAACTAGATCAAGTCTTAATTAGTATACCTGATACTTAATTTATAAGAGCCAGAGAAATAAATTTCAGTACATGCACCTATTTTGTAAATATTCAATCACTTTGGCTGCTATGACTGTATAACAGGTAGGAAACTGGAGTCTAAGCTGTCTGGAGAAAGGTTATGACTAATAAACAATGATAACAATAATGATGGCATTCTTATTTTTAGCCTTTTCTTATCTTAGCTGGGCAACATAAACATTAAAACAGTTAATGGATTCAGCTAAAACTTAAAACATTTTATTTATGAGAAGAAACTGTTAAAATCTGCTTTTGGCTTCTCTGATTGTTTTTTTTAGGTTTTCTTATCATTTGTTTATGCAAAGCAGTCACACAGATGGGCAGGTTGTTATGCTCTTCCCTCGGTTTATTATTAGCAACAGTAGTTTTATTTCCCATATTGTCTTTGTGCTATTATTGAAAGGCGGTTGATATAAAACACGTTCAGAGGAAGCGTCTGTTCCTCCTCCTCGGCGGTGGCTGCAGCTCTCATAATGAGGCTGTTGTGAAGATTGAATGTCGGTGGTATGAAGTGCTGCATGATTCATGTGCAGCCTGCAGACGGTTGGCTATTTTGCTGTGTGGCACAGAGCAGCCGTTAGGCAACTCGGCAGGTCAGGCTTCTACCAGAAAGCACGTGGTTTACAGGCAGCGGGAGCTCAGAAAGACTGTAATCTGATAAGAGAGGCACTGTAGTGACCGCACAGATGGGTAATAATGAAGGGCGGTAGAAGAGTAGTTCAGCCTTCTCTTAGTGAATGAGCTGCACAGGTTATGTTGCTGGGTTTGAAGAGGTTTTGCAGCTTGTGAGGGAGCGTGGCACACCTCTTTGTGCTTTTTTTTTTGTTGTTGTTATAGAGGAGGTGGGCTTGGGGAGTGGAGAGGACATTTTGGAAGAGCTGTAATCTGACTCCTGCTTTCAGTTTGCCATCCTTTCTGTTTACAAGCCAAACCCACCGGAGACGAAAGGTTGCATTTTTCACCCCCGTGTCAGTGCTGTGATTGGCTGAAGGGCGTAAGGCTGAGCTGACTTCCTATTTCCGTTTGCTGGCTCGGTGTAGCAGGCTTTTGTTGAAAGGTCCAGTCCTTTTTTTTTTCTTTTCTTCTTTTGGGGAGGGGGCTAACACGATTGCAGGGGTGCATACAAACACTTTGACCAAAGACGTCTGGGGCTCGACAGGATATTATGAAACATGATCTCATGCAGAGGTATCACCACATCTCTGCAGCGATGGTTTAATGATTCACAGCAACACGTCTGACAAAGGAGGCGACTTCTTTACTACTTTTCTTACCTGCAGGTTTGATCATTATCGTTCTTATCTTCTGTTTTGTTTTGTTTTTGATTAGCTACAGCAGATAGACTGCAGTGAGTTGGGTGAAACTTGATTTGTGATAACTTTGGGTTCACGGTGATGTAAGAGAAAGCAATCAGGCGCCTCGATGAGCAGAAACAAATGAGCGAGGATGGCACTGCAGAGAAAGAGAGAAACTAAAAGCAGCAAAGACAAAAAAGAGATACAAAGTCTTGAGTGGGAGCGGAAAAAGCTCGGTGGTCTGCGGTGTAACGGAAAAAATAAGACATCATATGCAAGAGGAGGAGTCGCAGAGCACGAGGTTAACTCTGCTCACTGATAGAAAGCACATGTATGGAGAGAAAACAAAAAGAAACACACGCCATGAGTCAGTTCTTTCACTGCATGCTTCATCTGTAGTGTCATCACTGCCCAAGAGACATGAGGTCGTTTTTCTTCATTAAAACTATGAAGATGTCGAGGCGGGGGAAAAAAAGCTCTTTCAGCAGTAAAACCGCAAAACCGTGTAACATCATTAGACTGTTAATACAGACACACTGGTGTGTAAAAAGTACCATTGTAGTATTTTAGCTTGTCAAAGTGGAGCTACTTTCAGCTGCTTTATATAGAGTGTCTCAGTTTAACATGGGGGTTCCCAAAATGGGAGCTGAGCTGCTACAAAAAGATGCAAAGTAATCATTTAGAAATATTCTGAGATATTAAATTGCATTTGTTGCCATTTTTGACACTTTTCTCTCATTGTATTTTTTTTAATGGTGAAATACTGAAACATCACACTTGGTTTTTAAATTAAATAACCTAGACGTTCGGAAGGGAAACATTTTATTAAAAGGATTTTATGAAGTTGTGCTTTGAAAGTGAGTCAGTGCTTCGAAACTGTAGATATTCTTATAGGTTGTAACTGGTTGCGAATGCCTGCGTATTTGACTTGGTGACTTCATCTCCTTTACACGTAAAAGGCTGATCATGTATTGTCGTCACCTCACCGAGGCCGGTGACGTGGGCACCTAAGTTTGTGAATGCGATAACTTGAGGACAAGATGACGTAGGATTTTGTAATTGATACCACAGGTGCGTCTGCTGGGAGTCTGAGGGGTAGCACTGGCAGTTGCCAGTACTTTTATTTTACTGCAGAAGTTCAGTTTTTCTTCTTGGAAGAGTGTTGAGAAAGGTCGATAGTTGATGATCGGAAATCTAAAGGCATAGTTCAACTGGAGAGATGTTTCATGCTGTCAGCAAACTGACTCACTGCATTTGTACATCCAAAGCAAGAAAACCTCTGAGTGTAAATTAAGTTTTCATGAGAAACATCAAGTCGAGCCATCTGACTTTTACATTTCCTGCTAAAACAGATGGAATAGGGAAAAGAAACCGTGGGGGCATGAGGTAAGACCAGAGCAGAAATAAAAAGCATCGAGATCACAAACATGATAAAGAAATGGTTAAAACATAAAATAAACACAAACCAGTGGGGGAAAATTAAAAAAACAACAACTATTGTTTCTTCTTTCAGATGCTTTGTGGATTTGCTTTGAAGTCTTTCGAGTACAGAAATTATCTTTACTCATTAGATCAGGTTATAAAAGACTCATCTGATGTGCATCACCAGCCTTTAGGGACAGTCGTGAGGCTTGGTTGGTTGTTGCATGTTGTCTGCATCTTTTCATTTCTGCCAGAAGTTTCTAGTGCGAGGTAAATATGTTTAAGTCAATTTTTTTAAATTGCTTTCTCTTGTCCCCCCCATCAGCCAGTCCTCCCTGTCATGGATATGGCATCGACTCATCCTTCCTCTGGGCGAGGGTCCTCGTGTTTGCTGAACTCGAAGAACTCCGGCATCCCGTCCTCTCAGAACCGAGGCGACACGGACATTCTGGAGCGTGTTCTGGACAAGCCCAAGCTCGCGATAGTGGAGGAGCCCAAAGACAGAGGCATGAGGTTTCGCTATGAATGTGAAGGACGCTCGGCGGGCAGCATCCTGGGAGCATCCAGCACCCACACTGAAAAGACCCTGCCTACGATAGAGGTAGGAGTTTTTGTTTCAGAAGGGGAGTTTACACGACCTCAGAGGCAGTTAGGCACTTTTAACCACAGCTGATCCTGTTTACTCTGTTCACTTGACCCCTCCTGTCTGAAATGGGTGGAGACAGAAAAAAATGTGGTTTGTCTGAATCAATTAGAAAGTCCCCACAAATCCCAGCTCAAGTGCAGTGAGATACAAGGAGGTATATCCCCCAGCTGCTTACTAAAAAACACTGCCACACACATCTACACGTCACGATCATTCACACATTGACTTGGTGGTTACCAGGTTATATAAAGTTTAGTCAAGGAAATGTCCGGTTGCATAATGGATATTAATAGCGGTGAACAATGGTGTTAACCTGTCATTGTTTTTGGATGAAACTGGTACCTGAGAGGACTTAGTTTTGCTTTTATTTATATTTTTATTGTAATACATCAGGAAATCTGTAATGACCTTCTAGAAACCTATTGTTTAAAGTCTGCCCCTGAAAAATGTCTGAGGGGGAAAGAGACAAAAAATCCTGGAGCAACAGATAGAGAAGGTTAATCGGCTTTTATTTCAACTCTTTTCAAGCCAAGTTTCTCAGATGTCAGGGTTATCTGCTTTAGTTTGGCATATTACAACAGCTTTGGTCTGTTGGTCAGGGAAAAAATTAAGAACTTTAGACAACTTTTTCTGTTTTCTATCAAGAAAATCACATTAATAGGCATCACAGCTCTGAACTTATTCTGGATTTTTGCTATAAATCTTGTTCTTTTCTTTCTTTCAGATTCAGGGTTCCATCGACGGCTTAAAGAAAGTCAACGTCACAGTTTCTTTGGTGACCAAAGACCTCCCACACCGGCCTCACCCCCACTGCCTCGTGGGTAAAGACTGTCCAAATGGTACAGGGATCTGTTTTGTCACATTCAACCCTCGCAACAACCGACGTCACAGGTGAGCATTCGCCTTCGATCCCTGCCATTTTGATACCTTAAAATTCGTGGTGTGTCTTTACATTTTATTTGAACAGTTCCCCTTGTTTTTACACCCAGCTTCGCTAACCTTGGTATTCAGTGTGTGAGGCGGAAAGAGCTGGACATTTCACTTCAGAAGCGAAGAAGTCTAAATATCGACCCATTTCAGAGTGAGTGGGAGACGTATGCCAATACACCGCACCTTAATCTCCACGTTATTCTTCATTCAATAATACTAAGTGCAATAATCCTTTCTGTCATCGTTGTATTTTTACTCAGTTGTATATAGTATTTGTATTTGTATTCTATTTTTATCTTATTGTATATTTATTTTATTCTACTGTATATAGTATTTTATTTTATTCTATTCTGTACAGTTGTGTACTGTATTTATTCTTATTGTATTCTAATTTTTGCCTCATAACTTTTGCACTGTCCACTTCCTGCTGTGACAAAACAAATTTCCCACGTGTGGGACTAATAAAGGTTATCTTATCTTATCTTATTCACATATATAAAGGCAGTTTTTTCTGTCCTCACTGACCCATTTTGTCTCTGTTCTCCCCTCAGCCGGGCATTCGAAGGGCATTGAAGACATGGACATGAATTCAGTGCGTCTGTGCTTTCAGTGCGAGCTCGAGTGGCAGGACGGCAGGAAAGACCATCTCAGCCCGGTGGTGTCGAAGCCCATTTATGACAAGAGTAAGACATAACCAGACAAACACACCGAAAAGCCTTGACCGCAGTCAACCAAGCGCGCCAAAAATAAGGCAGCGTACTTCCCTATTCTCACGCTTTGTCGTGCATGTTTTTTTTAATTCCAGAGGCAACAACTACATCACAGCTGAAGATCACCCATTTGAACCTGTATGAAGGTCCCTGCACTGGCAAGACGGAGGTCTACATGTTGTGTGACAAAGTGCAGAAAGGTAACAGGAAAGTTTTTTTGAAGTTAGGTTCCAGGAGTAGATTACATAAAACAAGTCCAGTTTCCACTATTCAGAAACGCGACAAAGAGCCTGATTACAATCTAAGTTTACTTGTAGGGCTTTGGAGCTTTAGTTAACTTTTAAATGAGATTTTTGTGTTTGTGTTATTAAAAAAAACAACCCACACACACCCACATTTTTGTAACTTAAAGTAGAGTCACATTGTGTTTTTCTTGACTAAGAGAAAGCATGTGACGGGGTGCCCAGGAAGGTGGTGCGGTGCTGCATGAGGAAGTCAGGAGTGTTAGAGAGAAGTGTGAGAGCGATGCAGGATATGCATGGGTGCACTGAGACAATAGTGTGTGGTAGGAGCGACAGACTGGTTAAAAGTGAATTTGAGAAGCTGCTTTTGAGAGCTTCTCAAGCTGGCAGATGAGGTCTGACTCTGTGGAATATTATGTTTGCGTATGATGTGTCGGTCTACACGGGGAGCTGTGGGGGTTTCCTGTGTAGAGAAAAGGAGTGAAGGTGAGAAGGAGCAAAGTAGAAAATGTGTTTTGGTGAGGATGATGGAGGAGGTGAAGGTGGTTGAGTTTAAATACTTGGGGTCAACCATCCAGAACAACTGGGGTGTGAAAAAGAGGTGAAGAAAAGGGTACTGGGTTGTGACAGAAGGATACCAACATGAAAGTAAAAGTTAAGAAGGCAGCTGAGAGATCAGTTACATTGCATGAAACGTATGAAAAGACCTGGAAGAAGCTGAGTTTGACATGCTGAGATGTTTGGAGCTCATCACAGCGACCGCTCAGGTTGGACGGTTCTGGGACAAAGTAAGAAAGATGAGCCTGAGTTTGTTTGGACATGTGCAGTGAAGACTTGCAGGTAGAAAGATGCCGTCAGAGAAGAAGAAAGCACAAAGAGGAGGTGTGTGGATGTGATGAAGGAGGACTTGTAGGTGGTTTCCAGGTGGTAACGTGCCCTAAAGAAGAAAACTGTTGTGACCTAATTATTTTGAATTAAAGTATTAAAAGTTTTGATTCCTCTAAAAAAAGGTTTTATTTTTAATCTTCTTTGTATTTTGGATCCTTTTTGAAACATTTTCTCATCGATTCTTAATTAAGAGGCTTCTTAAGGCGAACAGGAAGGTGGCCTTGGAGTCAAGGGTCCCATGAGCCTAGGTGCTGACCATTACGGGGTCCCTAATGTAATAAAACCTGGGACTCCCAGAAGTGAAGAAGCTTCTTGTTAAAGACTCCCATGACCTGGATGAATGAGAACACAAACATGTTCTAATGTTTCTTGAATAATAAAGAGCTTTGTGTGTTTGGTCCTCAGACGACATCGAGATCATCTTCAGGCGAGAGTCGTGGAAGGCGAACGGGGAGTTTGCCCAGACAGACGTGCACCGACAGATCGCCATCGTGTTTAAGACTCCGCCCTACGAGGACCAAGACATCACAGAGGAAGTGGAAGTCAACCTGGCCCTGCGTCGCATCTCAGACCAGATGGAGAGCGAGCCCGTTACATTCAAGTACCTGCCTCGCAATCCAGGTCAGTCAGCGCTGGACTTCCCTAACATCCTCTTCTGCCACACCAACCCTCTGCACGTCCTCCTTCACTACATCCATGAGCCTCCACTATCTCTACTCCCTGTTAGAGATGGCACGATACCACTTTTTTATGTCCGATACCGATACCGATATCATAAATTTGGATATCTGCCGATACCGATATGAATCCGATATAGTGTTTTTTAATCAACAAAACTGTTTTTTTAAATATCTTGCTGCATTTTGCAAGTCTGCAAGTTCATACTCAAGTTTAAAACAACAACTACACTAAAGCTATTCTGTTATACCTGTATACAAAAAAAATATTTCATAGTTCAGCAATACTGATCAATCTAATAAACTTAGACCTACACCATCCTCCCTATTCTGGTATTTTAAAGAGTACTTAGCGTAAATATTAAGCAACCTAACTAATAGAGTTCCAACTCCCAGCAACAACAAAAATAAATAAATAAAAAATAGGGAACCACCCCTCACGCTCCACCTCATGATGCTTAATCGACGTAATCAACCTTAATTTGATGCAGTGTGAAAAAAATGCACAGAAATCAATTATTTTTCAAGAAATATTAAATAGATTCAACATCTTTCTTCAACAAAATTGCAGACTGCACAGATGGTACCTTCACAAAGGAAAAAGTACTATAGCTTACTAGGGTATATATATTAGACTTAATAGTCACTATACACAGTAATTGACTTCTATTCATTTTACATCAAATTAAAACTTTGGGTGTCAGATAATTATTTATTAAAAGCTAGACATTTTAAATGAGAATAAGAAAGAAAAGTATGTCTTTGTGCCCCCTTTTCCCTGTTCATGCCCTATCGGCCCCCCTGGCTAAACTTTGCTAGATCCGCCCCTGCACAGTTATCAGCCGTCAGCTACGTAGAAAAGGATCCTGGTGTAAAAAGTAACATTAAATAAATTCTAACAACAGCTGATCAAGCTTAAACGTGCTGCTGTTGTTCAGCCGCTGGTTTCCTCTTTCTGGTGCAAAGTGGGCCAAAAACAAAGACGGACTCGCGACAGAAAAGCCGATCAGCTGATCATTAAGCAGTTTCACGATTGAAGTAGCAGCCGGAGAGCGAGAGGCAGTCGCTCGTTAAGCTTAACGCAGGAATGCTTTACAAACATTCAGAGATGGACTTACACACTTGCTTCACTTCTCTCGGGATAACTTTGTCGGAGATGAAATGCCGGGTTGCTAGCGAAGCTCCACATGCTATCCAGACCACCGACAGGTCCCGCATGCCACAGCCGCTCTATCACGTGATGCATACTGCTCCGACGTGCTAACGTTCTAGGTGAGTTACGGCGTGTTGCAAGTTTTGTGAGGTGCTTTCGTGATATTTAATGGATCGGATTACATTTTTTATTTTTCTCCGATATCCGATCCAGTCATTTAGGTCAGTATCGGACCGATACCGATACGTAATATCGGATCGGTCCATCTCTACTCCCTGTAGATTCACTTTTCCGCCGGTCTCCCTCCTTCTTCTGGTCATAAAGTCCACTGTCCTCTCTCCTATACATCTCTACACTTCCACACTTATGTCATCAGGACCAGCCACCTTTCTGTTCTTCCTCCTCTTCATAGCTGTCCTCACTTCCTCCTCACTGCACTTTCTCATTCATTAACTGTCCTCTGTCTTTTTTCTCTCTCAAAGTACTCCTTCCACCTTCTCTGCACACTCTCCTTACTCATTAGTACATTTCCATCCTGCTGCAAATCCTTTCCAGCTCGATCACTCTGTTTAACCAATCAAAACAAACCTTTATCTCCTTTCTTGGTGTCCAGCCTCACATACAACTCACTGTAAGCCTCTTTGAATACTTTCCTGTACGTCCTCATTCCACCATTACGTCACCGGCCACCACCATCTTTCCTTCGGCATTCCTTGATACCATTCCTACTCAACACTTCCTCATCACCTCTCTTCCCTTCATCTACATGTCCATTGAAGTCTGTCCTACTGTTTCCCCCCTTGGGGACACTCTCTGCCACTTGATCCAACTTGCTCCAGAACTCCCCTCTCTTTTCTAAATGACATCCAACCTGTGGGGCATACGCACAGATAACAATGAAAACCACCCCTCTGATTTCCACCGTCACACCCATGATCCTGTCTGACACTCTCTGCGCGTCCACAGCACTATGTACACCACAATAGAACATTTTGAATCCACCTCCAGCGCTCCTGGCCTTTCCACGTGGTCTCCTGCACACGCAATACAGCCACCTTCTTTCTCTCCATCATGTCAGCCAGTTCTCTCTCCTCTTTACCAGTCATAGTGCTCACAAATTAAAAAAACAGATGCAGCAGATTATTGCTAAACACTGACAGCGTTTCATTTCTCATTTCAGACCCGTACGAGGTGAAGCGGAAGACAAGGCTAAAGTCAGAGGTGAACCTCAAGGAGAAGCCCTGTGTGACAGGTGAGGTTCAGACTGTCAGTTTGATCTTTGTGTTTTTACAATTCAGCATGTGAACTGTTTGACTGGGGTGTGCCACCTCTCTGGCTCCATGTTTACATATTCTCACTCAAAATATTGTGACTTAATACAACAGGAAAAGCACAGCAAACCAACATTTTAAATCTAAACATTTTGGATTTCATCATGCAAAAAGCATAAAGTGCCTTTAAGTGAATACAATTATTTTTATTTTAACTTGACACTCAGTCCAGATTAAAGCTATTCACAATCATGTTCAAACTGCTTGTTAAATGATAGCCAGTCTTCTCAAAATCCAGGTTTAAACTGTAGTCTATCTGCCTGACTTCAAGAACCGCAAAGCCCCTTTTCCACTGATGCAGGACCAGTCCATAATCTAGAACCTGTTCCACATATTTCCCCTGAAAAAGGGCCGGTGGCATTGTGGCCCAGGTTGGTGCCACAGAATTGCTGACACCAAAACTGAAACAAAATTAAGTGTGCAGGAATTTCACCCATGACTAGCAGATGCATTTTTTATTTATTTTTTTGCATGGAAATTACTCCAACACCTGCTAGTAGCGTTTGGGTCTCAAAGCTTTTTTTTCCTGAGAAAGCCCCCCACACCAGCTCCACACCAGCACTGCATTGGTGGAAACGAGGTGCAAGGGAGCCATTCATTTATTTTCCTCTGGAAAAAAAGGGCGTCTTGGTCATGCTCACTTGGGTAAATTACAGAAACCTCAGTGGAACAGTTGAGTTGGTGTTTGTGCCATTAACCACACCTACTAAGAGTCAACACGTCTGCTGTGAAGATGCACTATTAGACACATGGCAGCTTCTGTAATTGGGACGAATCACAATGCCCTTCAAAAAAAAAATCACACTTAATCATTTTCTGTCTACTCATCACTGCATGATGAAGAACAGATCACATGCTAACATGACATTTGCCAAAAATGCCAAAATCGACCACTGGAATACACAGACATGACAAAAGAGGAAGTGGTCAGCCACAAATACTCCTTATGTGACATGTCATTTCTATGACTGATTATCACATGAAGATAGACTAGTTTTATGTGTTATACATATATAGATACACCAAACAAGATAAAGATGGTGTGTAATAAAAGCACAAAGGGGTTAAAAGCAACAGGTAAACTGTACAAAAGGTTAAAACTAAAGAGCAGCAAGTTCCACCTTCATGAAGGCTAGTTTTGGTTGATGTCGACTCAGCTGTGGGGTTGTTTTGGAGGTTTTTCACAGTTATTTCCATTTCATAGCCTGGTCTGACTGATATAAACAAGGCAAAACAGTCCTTGTGGCATAAAGTACTACAGATTAACAATGAGACAAACACCTTTCAAAATGATCACACAGCTGGCTCTGCACTTCTCCTCCCGTAATCTCAGTGAAGACCTTTTTCAAGACTGGCAGCTGTGTGTGTGTGCTTTTTAAAAAAGGTTGAGAATCACATGTCACAATCCAGGTACAAAGACCTCCGTCTAATAACTGACCATTCATCATGTTTCTAACAGCTTTGTTTTCTCTGTAACGTAATCTGTTTCAGCCAAGAGCGCACCTGCCTCAGATCAGGTCATCCAGTTCCTCCCAGAGGCCCAAAACATGATGTCGCCACAAGAGCGGTCGCACCCTGTCCTGCCCGGCACACCCGCTGCGGCGGAACCGCGTTACTGCAATCCAGTCGATTCAAACACAGACGAGGCGGCCGTTTACAACCAGTTGGTAGACATGCCTGAATTTTGGGAGGTCTTCAATAACCCAAACTTCTCCTCACTCGTGCCTGGCAACTTGGACATCACTGCCTCCCCCTTTGCTAATGTGGATATGAACTTCAACCAGAACTCCGGCTTCCTGCAGGACTTTTCCCATTACAGTGACTTGCAATTCAACATGCTCGTCAGCGAGAGCCAGAACCCGCAGTTGGAGCCGCAGGATAGCACGGTTCAGGTGAAAACGGAAGAGGAACTTTGAGGATCGTGTAGCACAGTTTACAGCTGTTTCTGTCATCTTTTAACATCTTGGTCACTTCCTTGCTGACAGTTTTATGTCACTGCCATGTGAGCACATTAAGCTAGTTTACCGCTTCCCCTTGTTTCTAGAACTTGTGCTAAGCTAACAAGCTATCGCCTGCTTTGTTTTTAGTATGAGACTGGTACTGATTAGCGCAGCAGAAAACTGAAACCATCCTTCAAAAGTGGATACAAGTGCCAAAATGCATATGCTTGTCTCTCTAGAGTCAAGTTTGAAAAATCCCATCAGCCACTTGAACTTTCATCACAGAATATCATCCATTTAATACATTTCAGAGGTTTTCTCTTGATTTTTAATGGATTTGACTTTAAGTCAAAGGTATAACTCCTACTTAAGCAAAATAACACGTTACATGCTGCTCCGATGGTCTGATGACAGTTAAGGCTGCGCATAGCTCTGCAGGCCGAGAGATTCCACTTTAACCCCTTTGATGGCACTGGTTCAGAGCTCCTTTATCCTTGGCTCAGTGCTCTCATGCTGGCACACGTATCCAGTTCATCCCAGACAATGGGTGAGAGGTGGGGCTCGCCATTTACCGTCACACCACTTTAGAATCGCCGGAGACCCACGCACAACTGTGCTGCTAAGCTGTTTGTTTTATTGGCTTACTCATGTCTAAACACAACAAGTTAGTCAGTACTAAACACTTAGCTAAGTTTCACACCAGTGATCATCAGTGTCTGATCTTCTGTGACAACTTACAATTTATTTTTTTCCATCTGAGTGTTTTCTGTTTGAGCTGGCACTCAAAGCAGTTTTTTCACTGTAAGCCACACACACACACACACACACGTCAGATTCTATTAAAAGTGGTCCAAGGAAGGAACAATGGTGATGCTGTGGCCTCTTTCAGCAGGATAATACACCTTGCCACAAGTAAAAAAAGGTTCAGGAACATTTTAAGCCATTGACTTGGCCTCCAGATTTCCCAGATCTCAGTCTAATCGAGGATATGTGGGAGCTGCTGGAGGTCTGCGCCTCGATGGGTCAGGGCTATTTTGGCAGCAAAAGGGGAACCAACACAGCATTAGGCAGGTGGTCATAATATTGGGCCTGATCAGCAAGCTGTTTGTTCAGCTTTTTCAGTTCGTTCACTTCTCATTAGCACACAGGGACCTCCCACTACCAGTCCCCTATATTATGTCGTCTGTCATTATCAACTTGAAATGCTGTCAAATGTAAATACAAACTAGTGAATATAAAAATAACAAACGCTTCAGCTATCTTGAATCAGAGAAGAATATATGTGGCATTTTTGGTGCTTGTATCCACTTGTGAACAATCTTCCTGTATTGAGTTATCTGCTGCGCTTGCTCTGCTAGACTGCAAAACCATTATGGAGCAGAGTGCCTTCTTTCCTGCTGCTGCTTTGCACTTTGTTGCCCTGTATTTAACCCCGTACCTTTTTTTTTCTTTTGCTCCCAAAGCCTTGCTGGCCAAGTCTTCGGGAACAAGTTGGCATTCCTTATTTTCCATAAGTGCTGCAAGCATTAATTTAAAGCCTACATTCAGTGTGGAGTTTAAAAGGAGAACTCAAACTTCTCCACAAAAGCTGTAAACTTCCATAATTGCAGTCTGTTTTAATTGCAAGGTGAGACTAAAATGGCACGTATTAAATGTTTGTGCGACATTTGTTTTGTTTGCTTAGCTGAAGCTGCCGGCAGCATAAAAGGGTTTGGTTTTTTTCTTTTAATCACCAAAAGTCTCAAGTACAGTAGTTGGGGATCAATTCTTCTTTGTCCCTGTCTGTTATTGCTCTCTGTTGGCTGCCACAGCCACTGGCTTGTTTAATATTTAATCAACATAAATGTAATAGAAAACAGCCCTTTTCCTATTTCTGGCTTTCTTTGTGTCAGTTCCTTTTGTTTGTCAGTTTCGCTCTTGTGCTAAGCATTCAAATTTCCAATCGCACCTTATCACATGTCTGCCCACAGTGTAGTGCAGTAGTCGGAGAAAAATAAAATGTCTGTGTGTAACTTTTGTTGTGTCATTACTTCCTGTTGAGGCAGAGTGAGAGGCAGAAATAAAAGATTAGAGTGCGTTAAAGGGGATGTAGGCGCTGCGATTCAGCTGCCGCCCACACACATTCCTGAGCTGCTCTCTCACTTATAAAAACAATGATTCTTGGCAGCTTCGACATCTCCGAGATGCTTTTCGGCTTGTCACGTCGTAGTTTTAAATATCTTCAATGCCTCAAGAGAACCTTGAAGTACTTGTTTGTCCAACCCATTAGACAGAAGCCCAGAGGATATAAATCACCCTATTGTTTATGGCTGTGAGACACCTTGAGGTCGCTTTAGTCACAGCCTCTCAAAAGAAACAATAGTTATTTTTTTCCCTTTCTTTTCTGCCTAAAACATGACTATCACTTCTCACAGTAATCCAGTCTGGGAACATGCCCTATTTGTGCTTTCCTCTTTAGTTTTTGTGGACTCTGGTGAAACACCCACTCTTTTGTAACTCCGTTGCTTTTGGGGAAACTTGGCGATTGAGACACACAGGGATGTTAACCTTACTCATTTTATTATTAATACATCTGCTGTGTGATGACAGTGAGCGGAGATATACTTAACATGTTCACAGAGGCCGAGGGGCTTCACAAAGATCCAGTATATGATAAATAAGGAATTATTGATTTTGAGCTGTCATGCAAACAAACTCAGAGTCCAAGAATAAAAATGTGGAGCATAAGTATGCCAGAGAACTAAGGCTTTACATTTTGGGACATAATAACAATAATCTTGGCCTTACCACGTCCTAAAACACGGTTAATACACCGAAAAATGATTGACACAGCATTAAGTATTACACAGATTCATTACTTAACAAAAGCCAAGATGCCAAAGCAGTGCGAGGAAAGACTAAGTACACCCTTACTGCCTCCGTAGGGATTAAAAGGAAAGGATTCGCCAAGTGCTGCTAATAAAATAAACTCAATTAATTGTGAGGACCTCTATGAACCTCTATGTCAGTTTGCTGGTCTGCAGCATTCAGATGTGTGTTAATACACCACTGAGAGGAGGATAGACATCAGCAATGATCGTAGAGAAGCAAATGTTGCTTCCCATCAGTTTGGGGATGGTTGTAAGGCCATTTCTAAATAATCTAAACTCCATCATTCAGTCCCCCAAAGTCAGACTGTGGAGGAAAACTGCAAAAAATGCGGAAGGGTTAGTATGTTTAGGTCACGTTTAAGCCTTAGGTCACGAACAGTGGTCCAAAATGATTTATTTATTTAAAGTTATTGCTACTAAAAGCGGATTTCCAGGCTTTAAATCCTGGGGTGTACTCAGTTCTTCTCACTCTGCCCCTGCATTTGATCAAATAAGTAAGGGTGCAGTGTAACTCATTCATTGGAGGTTGTATTTGCCTAATTTTAAGACTTATTAAGCACCAGCGATTTTTATTAATGTTCCAATAGAACTGACAGCGGGTGTCCTTTTTTTTTAAAAAGTACTAATATTTTCTTAAATCAAGCCTAGAAGGCTTTTTCAGCAGTAGCATTTAATATGAATATTTAGTTTTCATCCCTTTATAAAGTGGTTCCCATTGTTGCTTTCAGTGTCTGCCCTTTTTAAATGATCATGACACAAGTTATTAAGACATTTTTATACACTTGTGTTTGCTGAGTGGTAAAGAGATCGTTGTAGCTGTGCTTTAATATCCGTATTTGACTGTGTGCATCCGTTTTCTTCAGGTTAAGTAAAGCAGAAGTTAACGTTTGTTGGCCCCATCCATCACCCTGGAGCATACTCCAGTTACAGCCTCTGGGAAACTCCACACTGAGCTCATCTCTAAGACCTTTGATCCTATGTAAACAGAGAGAGATGCACTTTATTTCCTGTGAAAGGGTGCTGTATAACCAGCTGCTAAGACCTGTCTAGACTTGTCCACTGGATCTGTTTGCCTTAGACAGTAAGGGCTTTTTAAGATTTTCATCTTGTATGAAGGAAAAGCTTTTTTGCTTAAACCCAGGATTGATCAGGCAGCTTCCTTTGGAGGATGAATTCAATTTTAATCAGTTCATCTTTAGGTGATTTTTTTCTAATAATCACATAATTGTTTGTTTTAATGTCTGAATTCACACAGCCGAGAATTATAATCTCGAATCTGAGAAGAAGAAACCACTTAACGCCTGGCACCTTATCGCTTACTCCTAAAAAACCAAACATGTCCTTATCATCGGCGGTTCTTCTAGTGAATGGCCCCTTTTTAAGCCACCAGTAACTCTCAAGAAAAAAAAAAAGTGCTGATCTTAATCTTCCCTTTTTTCCTCGGCCTAATAAACCACCAGTTTCTGTCTCTGGCTTCAAACAGAAATGGTCTGAACTTTACATTTCTGGGACATGCAGATATCTCAGTATGTCTGTGGAGTATCTGGTGAGTGCTGAGCTGAGAGAGTGAGTCATGTGTTGTGGAAAGACGAAAAAGAGAAGGCTGAAGAGCTTCAAGTTTAAACTTTCAGTGGTATCTCTCAGATGAACTCATGCTGACTTTCCATTTAATTGACTTTTTTTTCCCTCCTGTAGTTACGCCACAGCAATTAGATGTACACAACTGATTACGAGAAACTGATGCAATGCGTTCCTGTAAGTGAAAAATCCGTTCAGTTTCATTTATATAAGGCCAAATCACAGGAATGAGTTTCTCAGTGTGCTTTTCACAATATTAGAGAGAAAACTCAACAATCAGACCTGTGAGCAAGTGTTTGATGACAGAAGTCTGGGGGGGAACTCGTTTTTAGATCAAGGTCAAGTTTACTTGTGTAGCACATTTCAAACGACACAGCTTGGCCATAATGTTTCCCAGGCAGCCAATAATAAAATGACAAAAAACAAAACCAATTACCTGATGTCAAGGTTTAGCTCAACTTAAAGGCCAGAGATTAGAAATGAGTCTTGTGCAAAGAGTTAAAAAACAGTTCTAACATGAAACGGTGAGACAATCGGAGACAAAAAGCTCAGTCACTTCTATTATATCTCTATAAGCCTAGCTTTTGGAATATAGAGGATCTGGTCTGATCAGTAGATAGGAGTGTGAACATGAGTGAGATCAGACAAATACACAGGTGCCACCCACTCAGAATTTAAGAAATTTCTGCTGACAAGACGAAACCCTCCCCCTCACAGAAGCATCTAGAGCATTTAAAATATGCTGAGTGACAAAAATGACAGACTGTGACTCTGAGAAGAGCCTGATTTTATACAGATGCTGAAAGTCACTAAAAGAATGCCAATAGCGAAGACAAAGAAGCTGTGAACACCTGCTTGTTGTGTGAGAAACATGCAAGAAAGTCTCTGTCAGAGGTCCAACACAAGTCACATCCCGGCACCACCCCCAGACAGCACAGGTACCCCGAAAGTGGGAGCCTTAAGTTAGACACCCCTGCTGTAATGTTTTTAGCACCATGTCAATCAGCTTCAGTCCCTCGTTTTGAAGTTTAAAGAGTTATTTTGCCAATAATGATTTGAAATCGCTGAATATGACTGACTTTCTGTATTTAGGCACATCACTTCCTGTGTGGAAACCTTACGGGCAGCAGGGGTCGACTCCTCGGCTGTAGAAACAAGTCAGACTGTAAAGACATCCATGAGAAAATTACCAAACTATGACATCAATCAGCAGCTTCAACTCTTATTAAATACAACACTGTTTTTTCATGGTTAAATTTGGAGTAAAATACCATGGAGCAGTTTATAGCACATCTGGCTAATTTTATCTGGGTTGTTCCACCCTCTAAGGTTAAGGTCACCAAACCAGAAAATCTTAGGAAATGAAAGCACTTAGTCAACAAAAACAGAGCTAAATTACTTCCTTAAAAACAACCGTCAGATTTCCCTTTCACAAAAAGCATCTGCATTTGGAATAAAATACAAATACAGTGCTGAATACTCAGTTCACTGCACTACAGATAGCAAATCCGGTCAAAGTTGATGACCCCAACTCGTATTCATTGTTTTAGACGTGAGAATAAAACACTTTCTGGGGGAAAATGTAGTTTTGATGCCTCACAGTAAGAATTATTCTGATCACTATTTTGTCCAGTGATTACCAGGACTTGGGAGAACATAATATATCATGCAGTTATGGTGAGGACTTAAGGCTTAGACATCACAGGTTTAATCACGGATGATGCACCATGCTGCCCCACGTATGTGAAGGAAATACTGGTCACACCAATTTAATTAATCAAGGACCGGCCGTGAGTTTGATCCAGATCCAGCTGGTGATGCGGAGTTTTATGGTCAAACATCCATAACTTCAATGTCTGGTTTAGCTTAAAGTGAGTGAAGCTGAATGTGACGGATGCTCCTGTGTGACAGCCTACCAAAAAAGGAAAAAATACCGAATATGGCACTTTGTGCCTCACTTTCAGACCTTGTTTTGTCACTTTGCCTCTCCTGAATATGCATCAGGGGGTAATTCCAGGCAGATGCTGCATAAGCACCGAACCTTTCTGTTTACAGCTGGCAGGCATCGTCTCTGTTGCCTGGTTACAACACCCACGGGAGTCCCCACACTAGTAGGGACTCGCCACCTTTCCCACAACAGCACATTTCAACCACAAAGCTACTGAAAGCTACTGAAAGCGAAACCAGGCGAGAAACGGCTGCTAATGTTTTCAAAATTCTGACATCTTTTTTTCCACTGGTCACCTCGAGCTCCATAAAAGGACCTTTGCTCCCCCCTGATGCTTTGACAGAGAGACGTGCGGTTTGTTGCATCACTTGTTTTGATAGTAGCACTTGTCAAAGTCTTCAAGAATAAAACCCCGAGAAATAAACAGTTTTTTTAACAGACTGTCAGACTGTCAACGTTTAAGAGCTTTTTTCGGGGGAAGGGGGGGGACGTAAAAACATTTTTTAAAAGGATGGAAATGATTAAATTAACTGTAAGGGGATTATAATAAAGAAACAATTGGCTCCGTATGTCCCAACGTCAAGTAATTTGAGTCACTTTGGCGCCATCTAGTGGA